CCATCAAACTTCACAGAAATGAACTTCGATTTATCTGTTGCCATAACCACTTTTGGACAACTGTTAACACCATAAACAACAAAGACCTTGAATGAAAATCTTAGCAGATCAAAATTCCTATAAAATACTCCAGATATTCCTTGTAGAAGGTTGTTAAACCTAAGAGATACCAACAAGAAGCAACTGGACAGTTTAAGTAATTTACCAGAAATTTTTGGCGGTAAAAAGGGGATGGAAAGAGGGATATTCGACCTACTAAAAGAAACCAAACTCAAATGGCCATTGTACCAAGCAAAAGTTCACAAAAAAAACTTGGAATCTAGAATCTCAAGTCCAAATTAAATCCAAACAAACTAGAAGATATTCATGAAAGAGCGAAACTGTCCTTGGATATTCTCAGTTTTGAGCAGAACTGAAAATATGATATTTCAGGCTTTTCAGCCCTTAAAACTGCACATAAAATCTCCAAAAAAAAATGCTTAAAAAACTTCTCAAAATACCTCTCATTGAATCCCCATTCAAAACTGATCTCTAGACTTAAGTTTAGATGCTTCCAACTAAACCCTAGTTCACCAAAACGTTCCAGACTGTGCAGTTCGACCCAGCCCTTTTAATCTCAGAATTAGTCTCTAGTTCTTCAACTTTAATCGTCCAAACAACCTTAATTCACCCGCTTTGATACCATGTTACCCTTCTGGTGTTTCATGCAAGCAACCACGAAGAAGAAGATGAACTTGGGAGGGTGTATCGAATGAATGCCCCCACCCTCAAAGAGCTAGTTTTATTAAATGGGGCAAAGATATATATAATTACAAAAGTGTTCCTTATTATGGGCAAAGTACAAGGCAACTTACATAAAGACCATGAGGCCTACCATACAAAAGAAATAAAACAAAGTAGAAAAACATAATATACAACCCTATCTACTTTTAAAAGCCCAGTAGACCAAGCTGCTTATCAAATTATCTTTGTCTTTAAAAATAAGTCTCTAAAAACTCAATATGTCTTTTGGCCATCTGAGTTGCTAGAATATATTTCTAAAAAGATTTGCCAAACGACACCTTATTATAACAGGAGTTGAGAAATAGATATCAAAGCAAAAAGATAATAGCACTCTTTGCTAATAACTGGTTTTATTAACTCTAAAATACTCTTCTTCTTTTTTTGTAGTAATTTTAAAATACTCATTTTACAATAAGAAACAACCACTTTTATAACCCATTGTACCTCTAAAAGAGCCTTAGCATTGTTTGTTATTAACGTTGTTACAAACAGATCCGCCTTAATTTGCCCCTAATTTTCCCCTTCAATTTCCTAACAGTCCGTTTGGTTGCTAAGAAGGGATGGGATGGAAAAGGACGGGATGAGAAAGGAAAATTTATTTTCTCATTTTGGCATTCTGGTGTTTGATTGCTGAGAAGGGAAAATTATTGTTCATCGTCTTCCTTCGAACTCAAACCAGTGGCATGGACGAGGTGAGTTCCAATCTCCCCCTCATTAGTAAAAGAAGAACGCCCAGAAAAAAAATTAATAAATAATAATATATTTATAAATCACTACTTCAGCAGCATGTAGTAAGGGTTTGTCACCTTCAAAGCTGTAGAGGATACAAGGGCAAAGCAAGATCTGAAGTTGTTCTCACTGCCTCCAATCTTCACCCCAACGAGAAAACACATAAAAATAAAAACAAAAAGTAAAAAGAATAATTGGGACTTGGTTTAACAAATCTGAGGGAAGAGAAACATATCTCATGGGAAAAACTGATCCGAGGGAAGAAAACTCTTACCTTGAAGCGGGTTTAAACCTAGAAAAAGGCATAAACACCTTGGCACGTTTTAACGGGAAACAATGGCTTTTAGCCGATGAACAACCATGTTCATTCAAGGTTCTACAAGCACAAGTGTAGATCTGTAAAACATCTACCTCTATATTGCCGAAAACAATAGATTTTAGCCGACGAACGACCATGTTTTCCTGATGGCACGAGGAGATCAATGACGCCAAAAACGTGAAGAATATGGTCGCCTTTATTCTATGGTCATGGATCTGGTCTTATCTTGGCTGGATATCGTCGGGAATGCTATCAGAGACTTGATTGCTATAGACGCAGGGAGACGATGAGAAGATGGCTACGGAGCTTCAGTCGAAAGTCTCGACATTCTTTTCTCACAATTTTCTCTTCTCACCAGGGTCGCACCATTTCAACGTGACCCCACATCCTTGGTTTTGAGAACCAACATCCCACGGTTTCCCATCCCATCCCGGCGAATAAACATGTGAAAATGAGAATCTAATGGGAATATTCCCATTTTTCCATCCCAATCGCAACAACCAAATGTATAATAAAGGTTGTGTTTGGTTTGAAAGATCTTTTCTCCACCTTTTCATTCAAAACAAACACAACCAAACAAGAAACCCATTGTAGGGAAATCCTAATTAGGCGGTGTTTGGTATAGCTTTCGTTTATTTGATAAATAGTGCCATGTCATCACTAAATCAACATTTATTCCATCATGTCGATTCTTACACATAGGTATTGATAAAAGTTGGTCTTGATTTATGTGTGCGTCAATCGTTGGGAAAGCTTCATTTAATGCTTCCCCCAACGATTAAGCATTTATTCACTGTTATGTTGATGTGACGTCTAATTGTCAACAAATCCTATAAAAACGTTTACTAACCACTTTTTCTTGGTTTTAAAGACAAATCAAATACAAAATATTCTTGCCTTTACCAAGGTTGGGGTTTGGATTTGGGGATGGGTTAACCTTGGTTGTGTAGTCCAATGAGCCAGAAAGGAAAAAAAATATTAAATATTGCAAGGAAGTAGGGTTGTTCATAAGAAGTTCCAACCCGACCAAACCGACCCAACCCGAGTCGACTGGGTTTTCATCAGCACCGGTCGGTTTTGGGTTGGGAAAATTTATAAACCGAAATATCGGGTCAGTTTCGGTTTCCTGGTGTAAAAATCGAAACCGACCTGAAACCGAACCGAACTAGTCTTCCTACTTAACTAGTCTTCTACTAGTTCGGCAGTTCCTAGTTTCTTACTTAACTAGTCTTCTACTAGAACTAGAACAGCCCTATCTTCTAGTTCCTACTTAACTAAATTGTATCTATCCTAGTTTCTATAGTCTTTTTATGGTGAAGAAGATGATGACATGGACAAAAGTAACTTCTTTTTCAGCCAAAGAAAGGAATCGCAGAAGGGGATTAGAAGTTTCAGAAATAAGGAAACTCTGGAGCTCAGTGTGGGAAAGGAAGTCTTATAGCTTCCTTCCTCTAATAGCTGCTTTGAAGATTATTTGTTGCATATATGACCAAAATTTTCTCTCCAGAGTCCAGACTTTTTATTAATCACTGTTGCTTATAAGCCTTTTGAGTGGGCTCCACTGCAAAGATAAAACTTAAAAACCGCATGAGAGTTGAGAGCCCTTCCAATATGGCATCTAGATTTGAGTTCGCATCTGCCCCACATAGAACGCGCCTCAACTCAAAGACGATTGAGATGTGCTGTGGGACATTTTTGGAACGCATTCTGTGGAGGGCAGATGTGACTTCTCTAGATCAATGATCATCACGTCAGTCTTATAACCACTGATAATACTTTGAACCTAATACTTTTTCACAAAAGTAGCTTCTTTTTCAGCCAAAGAAAGGAATCATAGAAGGGGATTAGAAGTTTCAAAATAAGGAAACTCTAAAGCTCAGTGTGGGAAAGGAAGTCTTACAGCTTCCTTCCTCTAATAGCAGATCATGAAAAATTCTCTGCTCAATGACAGGTGGTTTTGCCTGTCAAACCGACCAGGCCGGTTTTAGTTTCCACCTCAGGTAACCCGACCAATTCGGGTCGGTTGGGAAAACCCCAATAAATCGACCCAACCCGACCCGTATACAACCCTACAAGGAAGGTGCAAAAATATAATTTTTACCGAAAAACAAAGCAATAATATAACTACAATTTCAAGAATTGTATCTTCCTTTTTACAATGAAATAAATGAAACTTTAACCAAAAGAAAAAATATTTAAATGTTATTAACTAGTGGATGGAGAATTTAAAAGGCGCAAGAGGACTAGGTATGAGAATAATCAATCATATGTAATGAATGGTTTGAATGAACCAAACAATCAAAGTGGAAAAAGAGAACCTAATAATAACAATAGGATGCTTTTGGCTTTGGCCGGAAGAAAATTACAAAACGATGAAAGGAAGGAAGTCTCACAAATCTATGAGAATTTAGAGTCTAGGTTACGAAAATTCCTTGTTTTAACATTATAACATTAACTCGTGTCTACTAATATAAGGGTTTTTTTTTTTCTTTAAATATCTACCATATAGGTATTTGAGGCAGAGAGAGAGATATATAGAAGAGATTTAAGACTAATTTGAAACTGTTTTTATTAAATTTGAAGCCTACTTAAAAAAAATTTATGTTTTCAAGGTACGAGTTATTATTCATTCATGAGTGTAATGCACCGTTGTTACCCATGAACAGAGAAAAGAAAAGTAGATCAAAAACAGATGAAGGGTTATGAGTTGGAAAGTGCCCTGTTCAGTGGACCCACTTCTTGGAGCGTATGCAAACTGATGGCATTCTTGATGGGCCCCGTGACCGTGAGTGCCAAAACCATATGGACCGTTTATCATCAATGCAGGTTGCTTCCCACTGAACAGTGAACACCATACACGAGACGCACCCTAGCAAACACCAGCTCTATTGTATTGGCTCTTATATTCTATTAATTAGCGGCGGTACTAAAGTAGGAAGGTTCAGAGGTATACTTGTTAATAACTTAATTCTACTTTCTACTTTCTACTTTCTGGTTTCTGGTTTTCTACACCCCGGTCCCCGGTCCTCCTCGTCCCTCACCCCCATGAGTTTCGCCAATCACAAAAGTCGCGTCGATTACCTCTGTTCCGTATCGTCACTTCCTGTTTATCGACAAAATGAATAAATTAATTAAAAAATTAATACAAAAAAATAAGATAAAAGGACAAAACCAACCCTCCCGTCTCAATGGCCAAAGCTATCATTCTTCTTCTCGCATAAAAATTCCAACCACATTCAAGACAAAATCTACCGCTAACAACACTCACTCGATTCCACCCACCTAGGCCATACGCACACACACCCTTTTGCAATCCCTGCGTCTCCCAAATGGCGAAGTCGTCGACGTCGTCGCCTTCGTCGTCGGCAATTAGAATAGAAGACTACAAGCACAGTCCCGTCCACTATGCCGTTGCACTTGGAGACCATACCACCCTCTCCCGACTCCTCTCTTCCCTTCCGTCACTGGCCGATCCCTCCCAAATTCACACCGAGTCGGACTCGCTTGCCCAGGAAAGAGTAGCCGACCAGATCTCTTCCATCCTCGACCGCCGCGACGTTCCTCATCGTGAAACCCCTCTCCACCTCGCCGTCCGTCTCAACGACTCTTTCGCCGCTCGTACCCTTGCTGCTGCCGGTGCCGATGTTTCCCTTCAGAATGCCTCTGGATGGAACCCCTTACAGGAAGCCGTGTGTCGCCGCAGCTCCGAGATCGCTCTCACTCTGCTCCGCCTCCACCACCGTTCCGCCTGGTCTAAATGGCGCCGTAGACTCCCTCGCCTCGTTGCGGTTCTTCGAAGAATGCGAGACTTTTACATGGAGATCTCCTTTCACTTCGAGAGCTCCATTGTCCCCTTCGTCGGCAAGATCGCTCCTTCGGACACTTATAAGATTTGGAAGCGTGATGGCAATCTCCGTGCCGACACTTCTCTCGCCGGATTCGACGGTTTGAAGATACAACGGGCTGATCAGAGCTTTTTGTTCCTTGGAGATGGCGACCGAGATTTTGGTGTCCCCTCTGGCTCTTTACTAGTACTCAATCGCGACGAGCGGAAGATATTCGACGCCTTCGAAAATGCTGGTACTCCAATGTCGGAGGCCGATGTTGCCGGATTCTGTTCGCAGACGAGTGTTTACCGCCCTGGCATGGACGTTACCAAGGCTGAGCTGGTAGGGAGAACGAACTGGAGAAGGCAAGAGAGAACGGAGACCGTTGGAGAGTGGAAAGCCAAGGTCTACGAGGTTCACAACGTTGTCTTCAGTTTTCGAACAAGGAAAGTCGTCGATGCAGCCGGAGATGTCGCTGGGGGAGAGCAGGTTTTGCCGCTAGAGCTCGATGAGGACACGGAAGAAGGATTTTTAGTTGCAGAAAATCCAAGCTTGGGTTTCCCAGACCGTCGACGTCACAGTAGTTTTGTTCGAGAGGACAGAGAATGGATTGCGTTCGGGAGGAAGAGCGTCGACATTCCTTCAGCAATTCCAGAGCGGCGAAGAATCCCCACGGCGGCGCCACCACCAAATAAGGAGAAAGAGTACGTGAAGAGTCTTCGTCCCTCGGTCTGGTTAACGGATCAGTTTCCGCTGAAGACGGAGGAGCTTCTGCCATTATTGGACATTCTGGCAAACAAGGTGAAAGCCGTTAGACGTCTGAGGGAGCTCTTAACTACGAAATTCCCGCCGGGGACATTTCCGGTGAAGGTAGGCACGTAACCGTAAAGAAATTATTTTTGTCGCTTTTATTTTATTAAAAAAGAAAGAAATTAAAAAAAAAAAAGAAAAGAAAAGAGCAAGAAGAAGAAGAAGGCAGGTGGGGCCTGGTGGAGGAGACCATGGTCTCCTTGTTACTTTCTCTTCTTTTGATGCTTTGCTTGAGCAGTCAGTATGGGGCTAGGCTTTTAACGTGGCCCGCGTCGCACCGTACTGATAGATGATGGAACAAAGGATGAAAGGAGGGGGTCAACCATGAATGGGGTGGTGGGGTCATGGTGACCAGGTAGGATCAAGAGAGTGATGGGTCCAACATTTGTCGTCTTGTGCCTGCATATTTTTGATTTGGGCCATATCCTATATCTTCCTAGAATCGCGGACCAAATGTGATGCGGCAGACAAAAGTATGGTACGTGAGGATTCTATCTTAGAGGGTCCTTCCCAGATTTTTTGTCGGGAGTGAGACCGCGGCGTATATTGATATATGGTAATACTGTTTGTTATAGTAGGCAAATCTTTAACCGTTGGATGGGAATCATATCAACCAGTACCGATATCTATCATGTGGATGCTGGATCCCAGTCTGATGGTTAAAGGAGAATTGAATTGTGGTCTTGGGTCATGGGCGGCCCACAGATGAATAAAGTTGTTTAGATACATATTTTATGAGATATAAGAGATTATGAGACATAACAGAGAACTAAAAAAGAAAGGTTGGCTGCAGGTTGCAATTCCGGTGGTCCCCACGGTGAGGGTGGTGATAACGTTTACAAAGTTTGTTGATCTGCAACCGATGGAACAGTTCTTCACGCCGCTGTCGAGCCCAAGGCACCTTTTACAGGTGGGAGCTGCAGAAGAGCAGCAGCAGCAAGCAGATAGCCACACATCGTCGTCATCGTGGCTACGGCGGAACATCAACGGTCAGCCGGGGAGCAAGCAGCGGTGCAGTTCAGGTGCCCAACAGACGGATCCATTTGCAATCCCAAGTGATTACTCGTGGACAAGCATCGATGACAAGAACCGCAAGTTGAAGAAATCAAAATCCATCAGGAAATCAGCCAAGCCGTGAGGAGGTGATAAATGATGTCTTCCGTGCTAACCCCAACCCCATAATAACATGTACATATAGCCCTCCCAAGTCCCAACCAACCCCCCC